GACGAGGCCGCTGAAGGGCGGCGACGAGGCCGCGAAAGGGCGGCGACGGGGCCGCGGAAGGGCGACAATGGGGCCGCTGAAGGGCGGCGACGAGGCCGAAAGGGGCGGCGACGGGGCCGTAAGGGGCGGCGACGGGGCCTGAAGGGGCGGTCGCGGGGCCGTGAGGGGTGGCAACGGGGCCGTAAGGGGCGGTCGCGGGGCCGTGAGGGGCGGCGACAGGGCCGTAAGGGGCGGCGACGGGGCCGTAAGGGGCGGCGACGGGGCCTTAAGGGGCGGCGACGGGGCCGTAAGGAGCGGTCGCGGGGCCGTGAGGGGCGGCGACGGGGCCGTAAGGGGCGGTCGTGGGGCCGTGAGGGGCGGCGACGGGGCCGTAAGGGGCGGTCGCGGGGCCGTAAGGGGCGGTCGCGGGGCCTAGAGAGGGCAGCGACGGGGCCTGAGGGGCGGGACACTAGGCGCGCTTCGGGCAGGGGCGGCACGCGCCCCGGGTAGGAAACAAAATCTTGGTGGGCCCTAGGAACAGTTCCCACGAGGGAAGCTGCTCGATACCATGAGAAACTTAGAACGAGAATGAATGACTAAGGAATGAAAGTGATACAAATATGAGACCCTAGAATTGTGTACCCCTTAGTATCTAACCCGCTACAGCTTACACAGGCTAGATCATATAAGTTTGACAATTGTATCCGTGTCAAACATTATCTATATGTTATTGTTGTGTAGGCTATAGTGGGTTAGCCTTTAGGGGGTACACAACTCTAGGGTTTCATACTTGTACTCCAATCTGTCATAGTTCAATCACTTCTTGTTTCTGACATGGTATTAAGAGCTTAGGTTCTAGACCTATGGGCCCACCGTTCCGCTAGAGGTGTCCTCGTGCACCCCTTTTTTTTTTTTAGCGCCCTCGTGCGCCTTCTCCCCTAGTGCGCCCTCGTGCGCCCTCCTCTCACACTGCCCGTGTGCAGCCCGCTAGCAGCCCGAGCGCGGCCCCGCCGGTTTCGTGCGCGTGTAGGAAATCCGCCGCCTAGGGCGGCCCGATTTTTCTTTTCTTGCGAGCCCCAGCAGGCCGTCGCCCGTAGGCCCCGCTCGCCCCTAGGCCCCTAGGCCGACGCGCGACCCTAGCCGCCCGTCGACCGCCGCCCAGGACGGCGCAGCCCCCCCCGTAGGCCGCCGCGACGCCCCCCCCTTTAGGTCGTCGCCCGCGCGCTAGTCAGGCCCGCGCACAACCACGGCCCGCCCGCTACAGCCGCCCACGCGCACGCCCCCCCCGTTGCGCACTGCTGCGTAGCCCAGCCCGAGCCGAGCCGCGCCGCCCGAACCGAGCCGCGCCGCCCGAACCGAGCCGCGCCGCCCTGGCCGAGCCGCGCCACCTTACTGTGCCCCACCTGCATTAACTCCTGTTCCTGTTCCTACTGTATTACTTCTACTGTTTCTGCTGCTGCTACTGCCACTATGGCCACCCCCTCTGTTCTCACCTGACGCTGAGGGTCGCCCGATTAAGTTTGAGGTGTGGTTAGATGACCTCCACCTGTTCCTTCAGATCACTGCCAAGGATGATGTTTCCCTCTATGATCACACGTCTGGCGCTGCCCCCGCACCTCCCACTACAGCTGACAGCACTGCTCGCTCCCAGTGGCAGAACCGTGATGCTCACGCTCGCCTAGCCGTTCGCAGGCACCTGCCGTTATATGAGCGCGAGCACTTCGGCCAGCATAAGACCGCTAAGGAACTGTACGACGCAGTAGTCGCACGCTACTCCTCCCCTGCCACTGCTGCTATAGGCCGTCTCTCACTGCCCTATCTCTTCCCCGACCTGTCCGCGTTTGCCACAGTAGCTGACCTCATCACCCACCTCCGTACCAGTGACCTCCGCTACCGTGCCGTGCTCCCCCCTGATTTCCTAGCCAAGAACCCCCCCCCTCGATGTATCTCACACTGTACCATCTTGTCACCCGCCTCCCTGACTCCCTTCGCACTGTCAGGGACCAGTTTCTCGCCCTCTCCCCCACTGACCTCACTGTCGACCTCCTCGAGAAGGAACTCCTAGCAGCTGAGAAGAGCATTGTAGCTGTAGGTGCCTCTCGTGGTGACCCCCGCACCCCCTTCTTTGAGGGGTGCTCCCCCTCCCCCCTCCTCCCCTCCATTGCATCTGCTGCTGCTGTCGGCTACCTCGGAGCTGAGAGGGTCGGGGCCGCGTCTTCTCCTAGTGGGAGACGCGAGGGCGGCAGGGGCAAGGGGGGCACGGGTGGTGGAGGTGGAGGAGGGGGCGGCGGCAGTGGAGGGGGTGGGGGGGGCGGGGGTTGTGGCGGAGGTGGGAGTGGCGCGGGTGGTGGGGGGGTCAGTGGCGGCACAGGGGGTGGTGGCGGTGGCGGTGGTGGGGGTGGAGGGGGCGGTGGTGGCAGTGGTGGCGGCGGTGGAGCGGGTGGCGGACGTGGTGGAGCGGTGCAGCGTGGGGGGCTCGGCGGTGGCCAGAGGCAGCAGCAGCAGCGTCCCGCCGAGACTCCCTCGCCCCAGCAACTCCGTGAGTGGTACTCTCAGCGTGGGGGGTCTGGGGGTGGAGGTACCTGCCCGTACGTCATCCGCACAGGTGACCGAACTGGCCAGACCTGTGGGAGGTTCCACACAGCGCAGCGCTGCTTCTTTCGTCTCGACGACGCCTGGCGTGAGCAGTTTCCTGACGCCACTGAGCTGCCCCGCTGGGCTGATCTGCTTAGGAAGAACATTGATATCTTTGCTCTTGACTTTGATGCTATCCTTGGTGCCATGTATGCATTGACTATTAGTGTTGAGGGTGACTGTTACCTGAGTGTACCGCCAGACCCTGGCATTGGGACCAGTGAGACAGCTGCTCCAGGTGCTAGTGCGTCTGGTGCCCTAGGTCCTGGTGAGGCTGCTGCTCTTGGTACGCGTGCGTCTCCTGCCCTAGGTCCTGGTGAGGCTGCTGCTCTTGGTGCTAGTGCGTCTGCGCTTGCTGGTACTGCGTCTACTGAGGCACTGCACACCTTCACACTCGACTCGGGTGCTGCTTCTTCCGTGACCGCACTGCCCTTGAGCAGCTAGCTCGGCCAGTTGCTGTCTCTCTCGCTGACCCCTCTGGGGGCCCGGTCATTGCGACCTCCTCCACTGTCCTCCCTTGTCCTGCGGTCCCGTCTGGCACCCTGTCGGGTCTTTACCTCCCCTCGTTCTCTACGAACTTGGTGGCGGGCTCTGCTCTTCAGGATGGGGGTGTTCACCAGTTCACCCCTGCCTATGAGCGTGTGACCCACTGTACGTGTGCTAGGACAGGTCGCCACCTAGCTACCTTCACTCGGCAGCCGGGGTCGGACCTGTACACACTGACCACTGAGTCCCCTCAGGTAGCTGCGTCTGCGTCTGCGTCAGGTCAGCTGTCGGCCCCCTGCTCGTGTCGCTCTTTGTCGCACCAGACGGTTCTCTGGCACCACCGTCTCGGTCACCCGTCAGTGCAGCGCCTTCGTGGCATGCACTCCCGGTACCTTGTCTCTGGTCTTCCCAGGGTTCTCCCTCCCCTCCCGCCCTCGCCTGCTCCTCCCTGTCTTCCCTGCGTCGAGGGGCGGCAGCGCGCCGCTCCTCACTCCTCCTCGTTCCCTCCCACAGAGGCTCCTCTGCAGACTCTCCACCTGGACGTGTGGGGCCCAGCCCGCGTCCGTGGACAGGGCCACGAGCGGTACTTCCTGCTGGTTGTCGACGACTACACGCGCTACACCACGGTCTTCCCCTTGCGCGCCAAGGGTGAGGTCCCTGATGTTTTGATCCCTTGGATCCGCGCTGCTCGTCTCCAGCTCCGCGAGCGGTTCCAGTCGGACTTTCCCGTCCTGCGTCTGCACTCTGACCGAGGTGGTGAGTTTTCCTCTGACCTCTTGGCAGCCTACTGTGCGGAGCATGGCATCCGCCAGACTTTCACGCTTCCGGCCTCTCCACAGCAGAATGGGGTTGCTGAGCACCGCATTGGCTTGGTCATGGAGATCGCTCGTACCTCCTTGATCCATGCGGCTGCCCCCCATTTCCTGTGGCCGTTTGCAGTCCAGTACGCTGCGCATCAGCTCAATCTCTGGCCCCGTGTCTCCGCTCCGGAGACCTCGCCCACACTGCTGTGGACGGGGCAGGTTGGCGATGCGTCGCGTTACCGGGTCTGGGGTGCTCGTGCCTTTGTCCGCGATACCACTGCGGACAAGCTCTCCGCCCGTGCTGTGCCTTGTGTCTTCCTTGGCTTTGTCCCCGACGCGCCTGGTTGGCAGTTTTACCACCCCACCTCGCGCCGTGTCTTCCCCTCTCAGGACGTCACCTTTGACGAGTCGGTACCCTTCTACCGTCTGTTCCCCTACCGCACTGCTCCGCTCCCTCCCCCGCCTCTCTTCCTCACCCCAGGTGGCCCTCCGGTAGACCCCCTCCCTCCCCAGGGTCCTGCTCCCTCAGGTGTTTCCCAGGTAGACGCGGTCGAGCCTGTCGAGGTAGCTGTTGACTCTGGTCCTGAGCGGGGTACTGAGCCTTGGGGTACTGAGACTGGGGGTGCTGAGCCTGTCACGAGACGAACTTAGCTAGGAACGGGTTTAACTAAGGGCCTAGGCTTAGTAGCCTAGGCCAAGCGGGTGTCGAGGGAGTTGTGAATGTGTATTGTTCACTATAGCACACAAGGTACATATAGCAAACTAGCAAAGGTGCACCACCAACAAGGAAACATAACTACACTTGAGCTAAAGCTACAGGCAGTTATAAATATATATAAATATATATAAATATATATCGCGACACACCCCCTTAACTGCCTGCAGCACATAGCTAGAGTAAGTCACACCCCCTGAAAGGGTATTGCAGGCGTTGAGAAAGACGGTAGAGAGGTGAGGAGGAGGCGAGAGAGAGACAGGGGAGGAGAGGAGATAAGAACAAAGGAGGAGGTGAGTGAGGGATGAGGAGAGGAGGTGGGGGGGTGGCCGCGGCATCCCCTCTTACTAACCCCCTTTTACACAGGGGAGGTTGAGTGGGGGATGAGGAGTGGAGGTGGGGGGGTGGCCGCAGCGTCCCCTCTTACTAACCCCCACATCCCCACCCTCAATCAACCAACCCCCTGTAACCTCACCCCCCATTTCAACCGTCCCCTGGAACCGCACTCCCTCCCTCCTGTTCTTCCTCCAGACCCCTCCCCACCCACGATGGTCCCTGTCCAGTTCTTCACAGGTGGGGCTGCTGGTCACAGGTGGGGCTGCTGGTCACAGGTGGAGCTGCTGGTCACGGGTGGGGCTGCTGGTCACGGGTGGGGCTGCTGGTCACAGGTGGGGCTGCTGGTCACAGGTGGGGCTGCTGGTCACATGTGGGGCTGCTGGTCACAGGTGGGGCTGCTGGTCACAGGTGGGGCTGCTGGTCACAGGTGGGGCTGCTGGTCACAGGTGGGGCTGCTGGTCACAGGTGGGGCTGCTGGTCACAGGTGGGGTTGCTGGTCACGGGTGGGGCTGCTGGTCACAGGTGGGGCTGCTGGTCACAGGTGGGGCTGCTGGTCACAGGTGGGGCTGCTGGTCACAGGTGGGGCTCCTGGTCACAGGTGGGGCTGCTGGTCACAGGTGGGGCTGCTGGTCACAGGTAGGGCTGTTGGTCACAGGTGCCTGGTGCTGGCGGCTGGCGCTGGTGCTGGTGCCTGGTGCTGGCGGCTGGCGCTGGTGCTGGTGCCTGGTGCTGGTGCCTGGTGCTGGTGGCTGGCGCTGGTGCTGGTGCCTGGTGCTGGCGGCTGGCGCTGGCGCTGGTGCCTGGTGCTGGCGGCTGGCGCTGGTGCTGGTGCCTGGTGCCTGGTGCTGGCGGCTGGCACTGGTGCTGGTGCCTGGTGCTGGCGGCTGGCGCTGGTGCTGGTGCCTGGTGCTGGCGGCTGGCGCTGGTGCTGGTGCCTGGTGTTGGCGCTGGTGCTGGTGCCTGGTGCCTGGTGCTGGCGGCTGGCGCTGGTGCTGGTGCCTGACGGCTGGCGCTGGTCCTGGTGGCTGGCGCTGGCGTAACGGCGCTGGTGCCGGTGCTGGTGCTGGTGACTGGCTTCGGTGCTGGTGCTGGTTCCTGGTGCTGGTGGCTGGCGCTGGTGCTGGTGCCTGGTGCTGTTCCGCCGCCACTCCCTTCCCCCTTGTCCTCTCTCCCCCACAGCATTCCGCCGCCACTCCCTTCCCCCTTTCCCTCTCCCACCCGCAGCGTTCCGCCGCCAATCCCTTCCCCTCCTCCCTCTCCCACCCACAGCGACCGCAGCTGCACACGCGAACAGTCGCGACGGGGGAGGGGGGGGGTGACGAGCAGGGGGCCGGGGGAATGCGACGGGCGGAGCGAGGCGAAGGGAAGGAAGAAAACGGGACGGGGGGGAAAGGGCCGCGACGACCGCCACCGTCGCCGTCCCCTTCATTCCCGATGCCGTCCCCCCCCCTTCCCCACTCTCGCGCAAACTCGGCAGCAGGCGTAGGCGCGGGCAGAGGTGGTGAGGGTGGGGAAATGCGACGGGCTGACGACGGGGGAAACGCGACGCGCTGGCGACGTGGGAAACGCGATGAGCTGGCGATGGGGGAAACGCGACGCGCTGGCGACGGGGGGAAAACGCGACGGGATGGCGACGGGCAGGCGACGAGGGAAAAAACGACGGGCTGGCGACGAGGGAAACGCGGCCGGCTCGCCGCCGCGCCCGTCGCAGCGAGCGCTGTGCCACGAATAGGTGGGCCCATTAACTTAGGTCAGGAACTTAATCGCTCTATACCATGTTACGATACTAAGTTAACTAGGAACCGGGTTTAACTAAGGGCCTAGGCTTAGTAGCCTAGGCCAAGCGGGTGTCGAGGGAGTTGTGCCAAGAGAGAATCGAGAATGTGTATTGTTCACTATAGCACACAAGGTACATATAGCAAACTAGCAAAGGTGCACCACCAACAAGGAAACATAACTACACTTGAGCTAAAGCTACAGGCAGTTATAAATATATATAAATATATATCGCGACAGAGCCTGGGGGTGCTGCGACTGCGGGTGCTGAGACTGGGGGTGCTGAGCCTGGGGGTGCTGCGACTGGGGGTGCTGCGCCTTTGAGTGCTGAGACTGAGGGTACTGAGACTGGGGGTACTGCGGCTGGGGGTGCTGAGCCTGGGGGTGCTGAGCCTGGGGGTGCTGAGCCTAGGGGTACTGAGCCTGGGGGTGTTGACCCTGTTGGTGCTCCCTCTTCACAGCAGCTGCGTGAGTGGTACTCTCAGCATTGCGGCCTCTGGCGTGGGGCTACTGGAGCTGCGAGTACTGTGTTGCGGCCGGAGCCTCCCTCCCCTCCGCAACTACGTGAGTGGTACGCTCGGCGCTGCAGCCTCCGGAGTGGAGCTCCTAGTTTTGAGTTACCACCTGCTGGAGGCCCGGCTGCTCCTGGAGGTGCTTCTGGTGCTACTGGAGGTCCTGGAGCTGTTGGAGGTGCTGCTGGTGCTGCTGGAGGTCCTGGAGCTGTTGGAGGTGCTGCTGGAGCTGGTGTTACTGGAGGTACTGGAGTTGACACTCCTGGAGGTGCTACTGGTGCTGCGGGAGTTAAAGCTGCTGCTGGGGGTTCTGGTGCTGTCTCTGCTGGTTCTGGGGGCACGTCACGGCCGCGGCCGTACTTCGTTCCGCTCCTTCAGCAGGTTCTTGGTCGGTTGCCTCCTCCTTGTCCTGCTCCCTCCTTAAAGAGTCCTTCGCTTGTCCGGTTGCAGTCACAATTACAGCCCGCCTCACCACTTCCTGGTCCTTCTCCCTACGCTGGTCCGACAGGAGGTCTTACGGAGCGTCGTCAGCCTGAGTCTCGTCCTGTGTCGCCTGAGTCTCGTTCTGCGTCACCTGTTAGTGCTGCTCGCCCTGGTCGTCGTGTCCCACGTCAGCGTCCTCCTGCTGTCCCCGGCACTCACCAGATGCTGCTTCGTCTTTCCACTGCTCCACGGCGTGTCCCTCTGCCTTCTCCTCCTGCGTCCTCCCTTCCTGCCCTTGCTGACCCAGAGTCTGACTCTCTTCGTGCTGCTCGACCTACTGTCACGCGTCTCCTGTCCACAGTTGTCACTGACCCTTCCTTTGATTCAGCTGCTGCGTCTGCCTTAGTTACTGAGCTTGTCGACTTTGCTGCTCACTGTAGACTAGACTACGCTGCCGGTCTTGTTGCTGAGTCTGAGTCTGTCTGTCCTCCGTCCGTCGGGGGTGAGTGTGCTCTTGGCACGGACGTCCTTGAGGACAGGCAGGAGGAGTTTGAGTGCTTTGCCACCGCTGTACCTCATCTCGTGTCCATGCTGATTGCACCTGAGGGAGACCCGGATGCTCCAGACATCCCGACCCCACGCTCTTACGCTGAGGCGATCGCGGGTGAGTACTCCTCTCAGTGGCAGACAGCCATGGATGCAGAGATGGCATCCTGGAAGTCCACTGGCACTTACGTCGACGAGGTTCCCCCTCCTGGGGCGAACATCGTCCGTGGCATGTGGATTTTCAGGGTGAAGCGGCCGCCAGGTTCTCCGCCTGTCTTCAAGGCTCGGTACGTTGCTCGAGGCTTCAGTCAGCGAGAGGGAGTAGACTTCTTTCAGACCTTCTCCCCCACCCCGAAGATGACCACTCTTCGGGTGCTGCTGCACGTTGCCGCTCAGCGTGACTACGAGCTTCACTCTCTTGACTTCAACACAACTTTCTTGGCAGCCTGCACGAGGAGATCTGGCTGCGCCGCCCTCCTGGCTTCACTGGGTCGTTTCCTCCTGGTACCCAGTGGAGCCTCCGGCGGCCGGTCTACGGTCTCCGCCAGGCTCCACGTGAGTGGCACGACACACTGAGGACTACACTTGTGGCTCTTGGGTTCTCGTCTTCTACTGCCGACCCGTCGCTGTTCCTGCGCACCAACACTTCACTGCCGCCGTTCTACATCCTCGTGTACGTCGACGACTTGGTCTTTGCCACTGCTGACACTGAGGCTCTCACCCACGTGAAGTCGGAGCTGCAGAAGAGACACACGTGCACAGACCTGGGTGAGCTGACAAGCTATCTTGGCTTGCGGATCACCCGGGACAGAGCATGCCGCACCATCACACTGACTCAGTCACACATGGTGCAGCAGGTCCTTCAGCGCTTCGGCTTCACCTGGTCCTCAGCACAGGCCACTCCTCTGGCTATAGGTCACTCGCTCTCAGCTCTGCCTTCGGATGAGTCCGTAGAGCCGAGTGGTCCTTACCCAGAGCTAGTTGGTTGCCTCATGTACCTGATGACTTGCACTCGTCCTGACCTAGCATACCCTCTTGGCCTTCTGGCCCGCTATGTGGCTCCTGGCAGGCACCGAAAGGTGCACTGGGATGCTGCAAAGAGGGTATTGCGCTACTTGTGCAGTACATCGGGCATGGGGCTCGTGCTTGGAGGGAGGCGCTCAGTTGTTCTCACTGGGCACTCAGACGCTTCTTGGGTTGACGACCAGGCTACTCAGCGGTCGTCACAGGGTTACACCTTCAGCCTTGGCTCTGGTTCAGTTTCTTGGCGTTCTACTCGCTCGTCTTCAGTTCTCAGCTCCAGTTGTGAGGCTGAGATCTACGCCACAGCCATTGCTGCACAGGAGTTACGCTGGCTGACCTACCTGCTGACCGACTTGGGAGAGCGGCCTAGTTCTCCTCCAGTGCTGTACGTCGACAACAAGGCTGCCATTGCCTTGTGTCAGGAGCACAGACTGGAGCACAGAACGAAGCACATCGCTCTCCGTTACTTCCTGGCTCGAGAGCTGCAGCAGCGCGGTCAGCTTTGTCTGCGCTACGTGGCCACTCGGGCCAACACCGCTGATATATTCACCAAGGTACTTCAGCCTAGTGATCATCAGCGCTTTTGCACTGTACTGGGGCTTGTGCCCACTGTTCCTTACTTTCTGTAGGCTTTGTCTGTACTGTGATCTCTATATATATATACCTGCTTGTTTGTTTTGTTAGGTTGAGATCACCTTGCTGTTTGTGTTGTATATATGCCTCTGCATTTGAACTGGCCCTGTGGCCCTTTGCTTGTGCTCGAATTGTGTGGTGACGTTGTGATCCACCCTGAGCTTGCTTTGCCTTTCTTGACTGGTCTTGTGACCCCTTGCTCTCCCCCACTTTGCCTATGGGGGTGTGTCAAACATTATCTATATGTTATTGTTGTGTATGCTATAGTGGGTTAGCCTTTAGGGGGTACACAACTCTAGGGTTTCATACTTGTACTCCAATCTGTCATAGTTCAATCACTTCTTGTTTCTGACATTCCGTGCACAGTTATTATCTTTGTGCATTCGAGAAAGAATAAAAGTGTAACAAAAAAAAATAAGGATCTACACCAAATGCTACTATGCATGTCACGACCCACATCCTTGTGCATTAATTTCCTTCACATGTATTTGCATGCATTTAACTCCATTCTATGCAATAGTAGTAATAGGAGAAGTAGTAGCAGAATGAGTAGTAGTATTAATAGTAGTAGTAGTAGTAGTAGTAGTAGTAGTAGTAGTAGTAGTAGTAGTAGTAGTAGTAGTAATAGTAGAAGTAGTAGTAGTAGTAGTAGTAGTAGTAGTAGTAGTAGTAGTAGTAGTAGTAGTAGTAGTAGTAGTAGTTGTTGTTGTTGTTGTTGTTGTTGTTGTTGTTGGTGGTGGTGGTTATGTTGCTGATGCTGTTGTTGTTGTTGCTGCTGTTGCTGTTGTTGTTGCTGCTGTTGATGCCGCTGCTGCTGCTGTTGTTCTTGTTGTTGTTGTTGTTGTTGTTGTTGTTGTTGTTGTTGTTGTTGTTGTTGTTGTTGTTGTTGTTGTTGTTGTTGTTGTTGTTGTTGTTGTTGTTGTTGTTGCTGCTGTTGTTGTTGCAGTTGTTGTTGCTGTTGTTGTTGCTGTTGTTGCTGCTATTGTTGCTGCTGTTGTTGCTCTTGCTCTTGTTGTTGATGCTGTTGTTGATGTTGCCATTGCTGCCATTGTTGTTATTGTGATTAGGTGTGACAAATATCTATTAAAATTATTTTTTCCCGTCCTGTGCTTAGATTCCAGGGTTCA